GCCAAACACCAGCTCTCACAGGTCCCATCGGCTGCACCTGACAGCGCTAGCTCTGTGTTAATACTTAGACTTATTACAGCTTTATTGTGTGTGTTTTTTAATAAATAATGACTTTCACGTGGTCACAGTACAACCATCAGACTCAACAGTGTTAACAAGAATTCGCAATAAAGCCCATGTTCCCTCTTTAAAAAATAAAGTTAAAAAATAAACTTTGTCCTAATCTCATGCCCGCATTACAGACTTACAGTTTTCTTCCTCCTTTTGGCATTTCTGCATGAAATTTCATTCACATAAAAATAAGCTGTATGTTTAGATACTATTAGGTCTAGTAATAATTAATGTCATTTTCTAATACTTTTTTTTAAATCTATTGTAATTTATTTAAACAATACAACAAAATTTAATCAACAATATAGTTGCCGTTGTTTTCTACTAATTGTGCCCAATGCTCAGGAAGCATTTTAATCCCTCTGTTGTAAAATTCTTGTGATTTTGATGCAAAAAATTCGGTCAATGCATTTTTGAGGCATTCTTCATTATTAAATTTTTTTCCAAGAAGAAAGTTTTGCAAAGAACGAAACAAATGGTAATCGGAAGGGGCAATATCAGGAGAATATGCAGGTTGAGGGAGAACTTCCCATTCCAACTGGCGCAGTTTTTCAGCAGTGATTCTTGCAGTATGCGGTCGTGCGTTATCGTGGTGAAGAATTACGCCCTTCCGATTAATCAGCGTGGGTTCTTTTTCTCTTAAAGCTTGGGCTAACCTTTCCAATTGGGCACTATACACTGCACTTGTAATGGTTTGGTTAGATGGTAAAAGTTCATAATGAAGAATTCCTTTAAAATTCCACCAAACACACAACATCACTTTTTTCGCATGCAAGTCAGGTTTTGGCGTGGGCTGCGGAGCCTCATTTTTGTCCAACCATTGAGGCAGCCTTTTCAAATTAACATACAGCACCCATTGTTCATCTCCAGTAACAATTTGCTCTAAAAACGGCAATCGGTTTTGACGAGAGAGGAGCGAACTGCAAATTGTGACTCTTTGATTATGGTTGTTGTCGGGCAACTCATGAGGAACCCATTTTCCAAACTTTTGGACTTTGCCAAGTGCACGCAATTGATTGGAAATTGTTTTTTGTGAACAATTTAAAGTTGTCGCAAGCTCTTGCTGGGTAATTTGAGGATTTTGCACCAAAAGAGCTTGCAGAGCTTCTTGATCAAAATTGGACATACGGCCTCGACCACTCTTGTCATCTAACGAAAAATTTCCCTCGCGAAATTTCTCAAACCAACGCTGGCATTTTCTGGCGCTAACTGCATCTTGACCAAGAGCACTACAGATGTTTTTTGCAGCCTCACTTGCTTTTCTTCCTAATTGGAACTCGTAAAGCATGCAGTGCCGAATATGCTCTTCATTCGCCATCTTCTTAGCCCTAGTTTTGCAACAAAAACCAAACCAAACACAAACTTTTTCAAGCAAAACTTGTTAATTGCACTTCACACGTTCTGTAGATACCACGTGTTTGAAGGTTATGTCAATACAAATCAACACCAAGCAAGATTTTAAACGAATGTTTAAAAACTACATTAATTATTACTAGACCCGATAAATTCCTTAATTTTTCTTTGAAAAGCAAGTCTTTCAAGCTGTGTGAATAACGATTTTCAATGGACCTCTACCCTATCAGTTTAAATTCAAAGTCCAGTGAGTCGCTAATTTTTCATCCTCCTAATCTTTAATTGTATTTCCTGTGTGCTGTGGAGTTTTACAGCCACGCTCATGGACTGCTGTACAAATAAAAATCCGTATAAGCTATTTAAGAGGTAATTTACCTAAATGTCTCAAACGCCTTTAAAATGGGCTCTCTTTAGAGCTGGAAGTGTCCTATTTAGAAAGTTATCCTAAGGAAATAATTTTAAAAATATGCAAAGATGGTCATCATATAACATTTATCACAGGCAAATAGTTGAGTCAACCTAAATAGCAATCATGGGAAGCAGATTAAATTAGCCATGGTTAAACCATGTGACCTGTGGGTAGTAAAAGCCACTCTAAAGAACAAATTACATTGGTGAGCAAAATGGACCCAGAGACATAGAGGCATGGAACAGACTGTCAGCCCTCAGAGGGAAGGCGGGGGTGGGTAGATGGCGGAGAAAAACTTAACCCAACAACGTGTACACATATGTGCACAGCCCCTGGGCTCAGACGGCAGGGCGGGAGGGCCTGGGCAGGGCAGGCTGGAGAAGGGTCAGGGGGGGACATATGTAATGCTTCCAACAATATTTAAAAACACATTTTCGGGAGAAAACCACATTGCAGAACATAGTTAAGGATATTTTCCCCTGGCACCTTGGAAGTCCAAACCGGCAGGGAGCATCCCCCTCCGGGTTCCGCGTGAAATTCTGGCGCGTAAGACACGCTAACGCTACGTCCCTTTTCTTGGGAGTCTATTTGCATCGGGCGCCTCGGAATGGAGAGTAACAGTTATGGTCCATAATAACCGTTGAATATTAAGCCCGCGGGAGGACTCAATGTTTTAACAGAATGCCATAAATCATGTGACACAGAGAGAGTGCGGAGTCTCTGTGCTTCTCTGACGGCACATCTCATTTCAGACGCAGCGGGAAGTGAGAGTGGCTGGAGCCGGGTGGGAGCCCGGGAGCTCATTGCCAAGCGGCTTCCCCGGGGTCACGGGCAGGCCGCCCGAAGGCAGGGGCCGGCGGACTCACGCTGTGGATGAACCCAGAGGAAGCCCTGCCTCCTCCCGGCTCTGACTCCCTCTCGCACTCTCAGGCCGGCCCTGGAGCCGAGCAGAGGCCCCGGCTGTGCAGGGGAGGGACACGGTGCGGTGCAGGCCGTGTGCTCCGCTGGCCCCTCCTGCTGGGAAGTCCGCGGTGGTGATGGCCGAGGCCGCAGGAACCCGCTGCGGGCACTCACTCAAACCAAGTCCCAAGGCCCGGCGATTCCGAAAGCCATCCCCGCGCCTGGCCACTCTGACAGCCCGCAGCCTGGAGCTGCCCGGGGAATAACTGCACCCCCTCCCCTCACGCACACCCCTTCTCTCTGGGTCCCACCGGGCGCCGTCCACTGCGGTTCCTGAGTTAACCTCAGGCTGTGCCACGTGGTGGTTCCTTTAGAAAAGCAAAGGCCCATGCCCAGGGCCAGCCAGCAGCCAGTGGACAGGCAGGAGGCCTGAGGACAGGGAGGGCGTGTGGACAGTCATTAACCGGCAGCTCCTGCCGCACCCTGGGGCCCCGAGTGGCCCCGCAGCCCAGTGGGCCTGCCCATGCTGCTGTCTTACAAAAGCGAATGTTGAACAATTCCTGCTTCCCGCTGAATGACGCCTTAAAACACCTGTTTTCTTGTCTGACCTCCCTCCAAGGCGCTGCCGCTGCCCACACTGATCCTCCAGCAGACCCCGCCCGGACCGTAACCGATCCTGGAACCTGAGCTACAGAAAGGGCGCCGGCGGAGGCTGCTCCGCACAGACGGGGCCACGTCACCGGCCACGGGACCTTCCACACACAGCCCTCCCGGTCCCGCCTCCTCCTCACGGGGCTCTGGGCCTCTCCTGCAACCCCTCCCGGCGTCCTCAGCACCCAACTCCTCTGGTCTCTCCTTTCCTCCCCGTCTCCCGGCATCTTGTCCCGGCTTCAAACCGCGGAGAGAAGATGCCCCAGGCATAGTGGGCTCCTGCCCTCCCCCACTCCCCATCTCCCCACTCCCCTCCTGCCCTCCTGCCCCCCATTCCCCAGTGGAACAGACCAGCAGCTGCAGGAATTGCAGGCTCCCCACCACAGAGGCTGCGGTGCACCAGGATTCCAGAGACCTCCACGCTGCCCGCCTGCCAGCCCACCTAGAACTCACATCCTCAGATGAATGTGAGGACGAGGCTCTTTCCAACATTCAGCAGAACCCCGAGTCTAAAGCACGTTCCGCTCATCAAAGCTGCACAGCAGAAAGATGTCCCCAAGCATGCTAACCATCCTCCCCGCTGCCATTTCTCCTCCTACTGTCCCCCGCCATGCTGCACTCATCACTAACCACCCTCCCTGCTGCCATTTCTCCTCCTACTGTCCCCCGCCATGCTGCACTCATCACTAACCACCCTCCCCGCTGCCATTTCTCCTCCTACTGTCCCCCGCCATGCTGCACTCATCACTAACCACCCTCCCCGCTGCCATTTCTCCTCCTGTTCCCCCACCACACTGCATCTATTACTGACCACCCCGTACATTCCAGCCCGGCCGGAATGGCTCAGTGGCTGAGCACTGACCTATGAACCACTGGGTCATACAGCTCAACGGAGTGACGACTCGGACCCGTACCCAGCCTGCATCTGCATGAATAATTTGGTCTGAAAGAGATATCTACGTATAGATTCAGATACAAATAACTGAAATGGCTTAAAATCCCAAGGCAGATCCACAAAATACGGCGTCATTCAGTAAAATGTCTCTAGACTCTCCTTTATGCCCTGGCTGGTGCTCAGCTGGATGGAGCATCCTCCTCCCGGGCACCGACAGGTGGTGGGTTCGGTTCCCAATCATGGCACACCTCCCTCTCTGTCTCTCTCTCTGTCTCTCTCTCTGTCTCTCTCTCTCTCTCTCTCAATCTCTCTCAATCTCTCTCTCTCTCTCTCTCTCTCTCTCTCTCTCAATTCCTGTCTTAAATCAATAAACTATCCAGAGGTGGGGGGAGATTTAAAAAAAAAAACTTATTTAGAATCTCCATTTACAATTCCTAAAGAGATATATAGATAGGTAGACAGATACAGATAACAATTTGGTAATTATTTCTCTTCGCCTCTCCTCGGATTGTGACTTGCACTGGAAAAACCTTACTTAAAAAGTCAGGGAAGTTAACCTTCACTTCAAGGTCTTTCTAGGCCTCTCCGGTCCCCGCCCAGAGTGGCACGGAGAAGCCGGTCCCCGGTACGGGGGAAACAGTTATGGTGCGTGTGCGGTGAGGAGGAAGGGCAGTCAGTCACCTGCATGGAGGCTCCCTCCACTCGCGCCACGCAGGCCACCCGGTCGAGGAAGGTCACGGCCACAGGCACCGCCACGAAGAAGCCTTTGCAGAAGGCCTTGATGTACCGCCTCGCCCAGCCTTGCGCCGGCGCCATACCTGCCAACACAGAGAAAAACAAGCATGAAACGAAGTATACAGCAAGCATCAAAAGCGGTGAAAAAGAAAGACGCAAAAGACAGCCCCAGAAAAAACACTATTTTAAGGAGAAGCCACCTCAGCTCCATTTAGTTCACACACGTCCCCGTAACCACTGGAATAAACGGGACTTAAAATCCCCGAGGGGAGCGCCTTCACTCTGGGTAACTCTTGTCAGTAGCTCAAGTCCACTTGGCAATGTCAGTGGGAAATGTTTCCTCACGAGCAATAGGGTGGAGGGGAGCATTCCAAAAGTAAACCCTTTCCTGTGGCTGAGGATTCCGATGAGATGCTGCTCGGACCCTGACCTGCTCTCTTCCACGTAATGGAAGTGTCAATGAGACACCTCAGGGGCTGCCCAGCCTCCCTTGCAGCTATGTGCCACCATGTGACTAGGTTTGATGAATGGCCTTGGAGCAGAAGGGACTTACTCCCACACTGCACCTTACAAGGAGCGTGCTCTTCCTTTCCTATTGCTCATCTCATGACACCTGTGATAACGAGGTGGTGATAGGAACAGGAGGGGCCGCCCGGCCGGCATGGCTCAGTGGTTGAGTATCGACCTTGAACCAGGAGGTCATGGTTGGATTCCCGGTCAGGGTACCTGCCCAGGTTGCAGGCTCAATCTCCAGTAGAGGTTGGGCAGGAGGCAGCCAATCAATGATTCTCTCTCATCATTGATGGTTCAATCTTTCTCCCTCTCCCTTCCTGTCTGAAATCAATAAAAATATTTTTTTAAAAAAATACACATGGCAGAGCCACAGAATAAAGGGTCCCAAGTCCCCAGCACCATGGAGGCCCTATAACTGCCCTGCAGCATTAAGTGCGAGACAAACCACTCTCCATCGTTTAAAAACTCTTCCTAAACACCACTGTATATTTTCTATATGAATGTACATCCTATATAATAAAAGGGTAATATGCAAATTGGCCTTAAGGACTGGAATGGCAAGTCGCTATGATGTGCACTGGCCACCAGGGGGCAGACAATGCAGGAGCAGCCCCCTGGTGGTCAGTGCACTTCCTCAGGGGAAGCTCCACTCAGCCACAAGCCGGCTGACTGTCCCGCCTCCTCAGCAGCGCTGAGGATGTACGGCTGAGGCTTAGGCCCACTTCCTGTGGGGAAGGAGTCTAGGCCATCAGTTGGACATCCATCCTAGGAAGGACCCTCTCCTTATCTCCAGCAGACACCTGGGCCTGCACTGACAGCGACAGCCCCATCTCAGATTTCAGCCTTAACACGCCACCTATAGATTCTGCAAAAATAGTTTATCATAAAAATTAACAGGACAGGAAACAGCTTTCTGCAGGATGAAAAAAACCCTGGTAAGCGGCCCCCATTAGCCAGCAGAGGATGTAGGCTTTTGGCTGTAATAACCATGGAATCTGGATTTCCGCACTATTTCCAATTTAACTCGAACGCGCAAGTGCCATCATTAAGTGCAATTTAAGGGGACGGTGGGCTTGCCGCCAACAATGCAGCAACTGAAACTCGTGTCCGTGAAACCACCAGGCGCTTATCTGCAGCCTGAACACGGCAATGAGGGGACTTTGGACCATTTCACCATGAACCTGGTTCTTCCTGAGGCCATCATATCTCCAACTGGCAAGAGATCATATCTCCAGTATCAGAGTACTAACTGACTAGCTAAAAAAATAACAAGAAAATAAAAATACAGCGTTATGTAGCATTTAGGCTGTGTGCGACCTTGGCTTTTAAAAGAAATAATAAAAGGAGCTGTGAAAAAGCATCCTTCTCAAAAGGAAAAAAATCTCAAAACCATGCAAACGTAAAAACGAAGAAATAGGAGCGACACAGGGAAGCAGAAAGAGGGTAACACTAAGAACCTGACACGAGAAGAGCCAAGTACACACACGAGAGTGTGCGCCAGGCAGCAACAGGAATGCTGGGAAAACACCCGGGGAGGCCACGTGGTCCGCCCCCAGGCTCATCATCCAGCCTCCCAGGGTCAGCCCCGCCCCTCACCCACCTCCTGTCTGGCCAACGGGCCAACATGCTTCAGATCTGTTTCCTAATTCCTTCCCCAGCAGCCCTGCTCCTCCTGTTTGTGCGAGGGCCTGCTTAGGCCTCCGCAGCCAGTGGAACAGGCATCGTGTTTTCATGAAGAAGTTGAGTTTTCATTATTAAATTTTCCCGTTTTCCTGCAAGGCTATTGCTTCACTGTGTGAGAATAGCGCCAGCGAACAGTGTGTGGCTATAAGATTAAGACAGTCTTGTTCCGCCACGGCCACTGTAACGGCTGACGAGGACTTCTTCATGGCCGTCATTTCCAAGGGAAAGATCATGAAGTGTTTTGACCCAAAAACAGAGATGGATGTAAGCTAGTTACAGTATTATATAAGGTAACTATGTTATCCTTGAATTACGTAACTTCTATTAACTGGATTTTACCACGGGTCATTTCAGGAATGCTGAATATTATAGCTGTAGCCCAGCTCCTCGGCCTGAGTAGGCAATGTTTTTAAATTTATTCTTATTGTAGGCAGTAGTACAGTCGTCCCCCTGCACCCAGCCCCCACCCTACCCCAGGTTTTCACCCCACTATTGTCTGTGTCCATGGGTTATGCATAGCCTATATAATAAAAGGCTAATATGCAAATTGAACCAACAGCAGAATGACAGGTCGCTATGACATGCACTGACCACCAGGAGCTTCAATGCGGAGCTTCCCCCAGTGGTCAGTGCACTCCCACAGGGGGAGCACCGCTCAGCCAGAAACCTGACTCACAGCTGGGGAGCGGGCCTAAGCTGTGATACTCTTGTGTAGAAGCTGTGATATTCCCATGTAGGTGGTGTGATATTCCCATGTAGAAGCTGTGATATTTATATGTAGAAGCTGTGATACTCTGATGTAGAAGCTGTGATATTTCCATGTAGAATCTGTGACACTCTGGATAGAAGATGATGTTCCCGTGTAGAAGCTGTGATATTTTCATGTAGGATCTGTGACACTCCCGGATAGAAGCTGATACTCCTGTGTAGAATCTGTGACACTACGGATAGAAGCTGATACTCCTGTGTAGAAGCTGTGATGTTCCCATGTAGAAGCTGTGATGTTCCCATGTAGAAGCTGTGATATTCGTGCAGAGCAAGCATGCACGTGATGGAACAAGAGGGAGCTGTATGGTTTAAATGTCCCTGCACCCGCCTTGCAGGAGCCCTTCCCGATAAGGAGCCCCGCCCACATCTCCTTAAGGGCAAAGTGTGTGAGGCGCAGAGGGCGGTCTCCCCCGCTCTCTCCGAGACCTGCTCCGAGGCAGGCCTGCGCCCGCCATGGGGACAGGGCCCTGGCAGAGCCCCGCCCCGCCCCGCCCCTCCACAGCCAGCAGCACCTGGGCCAGGGCGTGAGAAGGCCCACAGCCTGCCTCCCTACGTAATAATCTGCCTGGATTAAGCCAGCAGAGGCTGGGCCCGGGTTGAAGTCTGAAGTTCAACAGCAAGAGAGACGCTGATCCCGAATGCGACCTGAGCTCCCCTGGGTGTCTGACGTGGACAGGGGGACGGAGCACGTTTAACCCACGGAGTGTGGGCAGCTCGCTCTGCAGAAATAGCTAACCAGCCAGTAAGCCCAGAGAAGACTCACAGACACAGAGGTAGGGATAAATATATTAATGCCGAGGGGCAGAAATAACAAAGGGTTTTGAAACAACTACCCACCATTTAAAGGGGGGGGGGGGGGGAGGAATCATCCCAGAAAGATAACTTCCACATAACTCAAAGATAAATGTAAAATTAAAAATATAAAAGGAGCCCAGATGGCGTGGCTCAGTGGTTGAGCATCAACCCATGAACCAGGAGGTCACGATTCGATGCTAATCACAGAAAGAGGTCAGGTGAGGAAGAAAAGGAGCCAAAATGATGCCAGCTGTGTTTATTGGCAGCCAAAGGATTCGCCTTCATCCTACACATTCCCGTATTGTGTAAATTCTCCGTGCTGGGTGTATGTTATCGTCACCTCCTAAAGCAGATTAGCATCAGTTTTCGCCTGCTACGACAAATATTTCTTAAATGCAAATTAGCTCAGCCCAAGCTGGCTTGCTCAGTGGTTAGAGCATTGGCACGTAGACTGAAGAGTCATGGGTTCGATTCCAGGGGCACATTCCTCTGGTTGCAGGCTCCATCCCCAGCCCAGATAAGGGTGTGTTCGGGAGTCAACCAATCTGTGTCTCTCTCACACTGATGTCCCTCTCTCCATCTCTCCTCCCCTCCTTCCTCCCTTCCACTCTCTCTCAAAAAACAATGGAAAAATGTCCTCGGGTGAGGATTAAAATAATTGTATAAATAATAAATAAATAAGCGAACATAAATAAATAAAATTTTAAATTAGCTCACAGGCAGGGCAATGATGTCAGTTGTGCTGCTCATGTTATTTTTGCCAGCACGTAAAGGTTTTTTGTTTTGTTTTTTAAAATATTTTTTATTGATTTCAGAGAGGAAGGGAGAGGGGGAAAGAGAGAGAAACATCAACGATGAGAATCATTGATCGGCTGCCTCCTACATGCCCCACACTGGGGATGGAGTTCACAACCTGGAGATGTGTCCTGACCGGGAATCAAACCGTGACTTCCTGGTTCATAGGTTGAGGCTCAGCCACTGAGCCACACTTTAGCTGGGCCAAAGGTTTTGATACCATCAAGAGCAAGTTTTCTCAGACTTAAAGGGAAAGTCTCATTTAGAGTCTCAAGACTTCCACCACCTCCGTAAGTTACCTGAGGAGACATGTGCACTATTTCTGTTTAAAATTAGGTAAAATTGGTAAGTCAACACCTGGGATCAGGTTTTTTAACTTTGATGAGATGAGCCTGTGTTAGACGTGGATGACTTCAATGGACCCAACTGAAGGAGGAAAGTCAGGATTGAGGGCCGCCTGAACCACGATGCTGGGTGCCGATGCTGGTTGAGAGTTACCATTTTTATTACGATTGACTGTCATTTTCTG